TTTTCGAACTGCCCACATCTTCTAAAACAACACATATAAAAACTGCGCGCGTCAGCACTATACGGAGCCATAGAATGTTAGACCTAAATGTACCTGTGATTTCAGGTTGTGATAACGTGCATTCCTGGCAGGTGGCATGTGGGCCATATAGCAGTGTCCATTTTTAAGTAATTTAACAGCTGATAAATAATGTTTGGGATTAATAAGCATGCTGTACAATTAGATAAGTAATTTGTATTTTGCATGGTATGGTACAAATATTAGTGGTGGAGGCCACACAGAATTACCCTACAGATGACACGATATATAGATAGGGGATTATAAGTGATTGTAAGTAATTGTAAGGGGATAGTTTTACCTTGTCAGTGCAACAACAACCCTCAGCATCCAGAAAATACTCGACATTACTGAATAAACTGCGATTAATTGTCACGGCGCTTCGGATTCGTTGTACAATGGAACACAAAGTGGCCCTAATTACCAGGATATATACCTCAGATTCCAAATAGTGCATAACAAAAGGGACTCAAGAGTAACATAATGTTTCAGGCTTCACAGATACATTAACGTTTGCTATAAATGTGGCAAGCTGACTTGCCACTTTAGAGACTCTGCTCTAGGAGTTGCTGGCAAAAATCGTACTTTGCACTTGTTCTTTCACTGACATGTTTGTTTAAACCTGAGAGTTTCGCGGCAGCTATCGTTGGGAACACCTCGGTCAATCAGTTTAAGTTAATAATTTCTCACCTACATATATAAAGAAGAAAGTCGGTGTGTTTGATTGTTCGCTTATAATTCAGTCACTACTAAAGCTATATTCACCAAACTTTCTACAATTCTTTTCTGGGCTCTGGAAAAGGTCGATGTCCACTTTCCCCTCCAAAAAATAGCTAAAATCAGAGTTATTAATTAAAAATGTCTAAAACGCTAATTTTCGCCCTCATTCTCCCGAGTGGCAACACTCCCGCACGCTTGGGATAAAAAATCTGCATTACTTCGAGAAGTGTTGCCACTGCTCGCTTTCAAATCGTAAAGTTTGTTAATCAAATTTTGTAAGTTTCACAGAATCTTTATGTATAAAGAAGAATGACTGTCTGTGTGTTTGTTCGCGTTATTGATTTCTGATCAATTATGATGAAATTTTGTCACATTTAATCGACTAAAATTGAATATAGGTGAAATATTAGATGGAACTTGATCTTTTACGACTCTTTGATTAACTTTACTGGCAACGGGCACTTCCGCTAGTAAGTTAATAATTTTATTCCGAACAGAGGAAACTAATAAGTAACTCCAGATGAAATTACAGATATATTTCCTACAGAACAATGCATTCATTTACTCATACTGTGGCCTTTTTCTCTGTCTGATAGTGTATTTTCAAAAAGTTTTCGTAATCTTTTCATGCGAGTTCTCCAAAGCAACACTTAATAATTAGCAATCATTGCAAAATTCGATACATTGTCAGATTTCAGAACCCCTTTGTTAAAATTTGATCTATATCTTAATTTCCTTGGCAGTTATGATCAAAGACCTATTTTTTGTTTATTTTTTTTCAAGGCAGTGTAGTTTGTATGCCACACGATACCTCAATTTACTCGTTCTATAATCTTTCATTATTTGACTGTAAAGTGGAACGTTGAGATACAAGCACCTCTGTATACGAAAAATTCGTGATACGAGGAAAGTATAAGCGGAATATCTGTCTCTAAATACGAGCATTGACAAGAGTAACAAGCAAGGAGCCAGGCTGTTGGTATGCGTATCTCCATTTGCCTATTCGGTTCGACTCGGGAGTCCCCTCGTCAGATCACTCAGTATTTGCACGCTTGCGCGTCAATTATTTATTACATTTAACGTGAAAATAATTGTTTTTCGATGCCTCCCAAGAAGATTGTTGGCTCAGATAGTGCCGTAAAGATAAAGAAGGAAGACACGGCCTTTGAAAATAAGAAAGGAATCACATATAAACATAAGCGTGGTGTAAGAGTGACGGAATTCGCGAAGGCTTATGACCTTACGACATCGACGATCTGCACTATAAGCAGGGAAAGAAATTAAGAAACCTGATGTGGCTAAAGGAGTTACTGTTACTTCCAAGCACCATCCAAAACTCTAAAAGATGTTGAGAAGCTGTTATTGGTGTGGATTAACGAAAAGAAGTTAAAAATTCGATGTCGGAAGCTATCGTAAAGGTAAACTACGGTTATATTTTTTACCAGTGTTATATATCAGAAAAATTGATTTTTATGCTGATATTTTTGGGGTTTCGGATCGATTAATTTTATTTCAATTATTTTTAGTGGGGAAATTTGTTTCTAAATACTAGAAATTTGCTATACGAGTTCAATGATGGAACGAATTAAACTCATGTCTTGAGGTTCCACTGTAAACTGTTTTTTCATTTTCTGTTTGTCAGGCTCAACGAACAAGGCATTCCCGTGTGCAAATTTTGAATAGGCGCTGGATAGGCGAAGGCGAGGGTCGTACACGTACTTACCTCTCGCAAACACCACGTACCACAGTTATTTGTCACTTGCCACCTGTAGGATTACTAAATCGCGCGTTCGGTACAGTGGTTAATGATACCGACTGCCGTACAAATAGGTCCGGGTTAGAAGCCCGGAGAAGGCACGGATGCTTGTAAGAATATATTGTCTGGGCGGCAAGGGGCCAATCAAAACACCTGGTAAGACTTCCGGCTTTTCCTTCAAGACTGGAATGATATTGCACAGTTAGTATGGTGGGAGTATACCCGTACGACCAATGGTGAACTTCTGGTTCCCCGCTCACTTTTATCTGTACCTGTGGGATTACTGAAATTATCTGGCTGGTTAAAATTCATGTTTACCAGTTTAGGGTATTTATAAGACGCAGAATAAATACTAGAACTTTACACATTTCATTAAGGCATCTTTAGATTTGGCCAATATTGCAAAATATCTTAGTAATACTAATAGTATTAAAATTCAGATATAGAAATTAGAAATTTCAAGAGTGTCAGTTGTACTATCAATGTGTTCATTAAGACGCCAAATTAAACTGTACAAGACGCAGAATAAAAATTAGAACTTTATGCGTTTTAGTAAGTCATTATTCGATTTTGCCATTGTTGCAAAATATCTTAGTAATACTAATAGTATTAAAATTCAGGAACGGAAATTAGAAATTTCGAGAGTTGCTACTAGTATTAAAATTCAGGAACGGAAATTAAAAATTTGGAGAAAATCCTTTGTACTATTAATTTGTTAAGATGCTTAACTAAACGAATTAACTAAAAAGTAGTTTTCGGTGTTTCAGTGCTTTTATACCCAATAAAGAGCAACTTTCGCATAAGGACTGTTTATGTAGACCTATATCCAGGTGTTATATAACTATTAGTAGAACTGCATTTGAATAGAGAAATAAATGTCTCTCTCTCTATAAAATTCATACAAAAATGCAAATTTATAGTTATTTGATTATTAATAGTTACAAGTAAATTCATAAAAAATATGTGTTGTTATTTAATGAACTAGAAACGTCCTCTTAATATTTTAACGAATAAACGCAACTTTCTTTTTATCGCTGACGTAATAATATTTGAAAACCCTTTTTTTACAATAAAGGGTTAATGTTAGTTTAGCAGAAACCACCTATTCGTACTGTGTTTAGTATGTAAAATATATAATACAAATAATAATAATTTTGGCAGTATTTAAGCAACAATAATTAACAAGATAATTTGGCACTTTTAAAATTGCGCTTACAAAAGAATGGGAGATTACTGACATCCATAACCTGGTGAATTAATTACTTCGCGTTCCCTCATTTAGCATTAATTTTTTCATTAAAAATAAATCTTCCTGAAAGACATTTTATTCCATAAAAATTGAGCTATTTTTAGAAGTTTTTCTTGATTTGTTCAAGTATGCAAAATGTCCTGCATCAGCAATTATTTTCAGAGAGAGCAAACATTCTTAATGAAATAACATTAAATGAACAAGTGATGGTTTGATAATAAAAACACCTGTTGTAAGATCAGAAATTACAGGAAATGTTTTGAACGGTTGGAAAATAAAGAGCTAAAATTGACGAAGATGGAAGTGACGACACAGCACTGGCTGATAACAAAAGAAGTTTCTTCCGAGAGTTTAATTGAATTGTTAACTGACATTATAAAATTAAAGGAAAAAAGTGATTTTATTACGAAGCAGGCTGATGAAATTTACACGATGTATGAAGATTACGTGAGAAAGGAAAGTGAAGGAGTTCTTTCTTTATGTAAGACTTGACATTAATGTTATGAGAATATGTGATAGGTTCAGAATAAAATCAACTTTTTTCCCCTCTGGAATTAAAAAAAAACATTAATTGCTTTTTTAGTCTATCTGTACTTCCTGTATTTTTGATCTGAATGAACTGTATGTCCTCTAATCAATTCGTGTTATTACAATTTCAGTTGCGTGGGGGAAACAGTTTTAATGAGAAAAGGAGTTTTTATATTTGGTGTTAGAAATTTTTATGGCAGAGGTTTTTTACTATAAAGTATTTTCTCCCTCTTTCTAGCATTCCTTCGTCGTGTAACCGTAACACACTCGACGCGTATTCCAGATGTCCATGTTCGAGTCCTGGCAACAAGATTGCTCATTTTTCATGTTTCCTGCTTTAAAATAAACTAATGACTCTACAATACTTAATACTAATTTGCTACAAAGGCGAGTGTTGTTTTTATAAATGCATTTGAAAGATAATAGAATTATCTTACATTCAGGCCAAAACCGTACATACAACATATTTTATAAAAGTTCTGATTTAATTATTATTTCCTATTATTACTTTTGAAACCTGAAAGAAAAAAAAAAGCATCAACTGGTTGAATCTATCGAAAGTAGGAGGACAGATGTAATGTGAAATTTTATCTTAGATGTCAACAGTTCTTTTATCTTTTAAGAAAACAACCGAAAAGAAATGCAACATTTTTAATAATAAAAAAAAAAAATGTCCAAAGGGTGACATACCTGTAGAGGCATTATGTTGAAGATAAATGGTTCTCGCCATGTTTCCGATAGAATTCTTTGCGTAGTAATATAACGAACCATAGTCGATTTTTGTTTCGGGAACATATTTAGCAATGCTTTTTGTCTTTCCTATAGCATCGAAAGAGAAGATATTCACTGTTTCGGAAAGTATGTTGTTAAAAGTCCACCTGAAAATGACGTCGTGTGGATCAGCTTCCACTGAGTAAGTAAGTCAGATTGACTTTTCCTCCTCTGGCAACAACGCCATAGTTGCGGCGTTGGTAGTCACTACATACAGGAGATTCTGTTAGAAGAAAGGAAATAATGATTGCAAATCTAAAGCACAAAATGAAGCAATTTTAAAACCGTGCTTTTTTTAAAATACTTTAAAATATTATTTTTTAAAAAATTTACTTTTTTTTAAAAGAATTTTTTACAGAGATATTACGATTTTCACTAATACAATATAAGGTATTTATCCCGTCTTCCTAGCGTGCCTTCGTGGTGTACTGGTTCTGCAAGCTGGGCCGGTATCCAGAGGTCCGTGGTTAGATTTCTGCCGAAGGCGGTTGCTAATTTTTCCTCTTTCCGGGATCAAAAATACCTAATGTCTCTACGATGGCGCCCGAAGTAAAAGAGTGTAGGATGAGGATTATCCACACCCAGGATTTGGCGATTGGGTCCCCTAAAAACCCCAGTCGCCCTTTAAAAAGGCGAGTATATAAGGTATTTCTCCCGCTTTTCTAGTGTGCCTTCGTGGTGTAGTGGTTCTGCACACTGGGCCGGTATTTCAGAGGTCCTTGCTTCGATTCAAAAATACCTAATGTCTGTACAACAACATATCATGTTTCCTCCATAATTTCAATTCGTTAATATATATAAATATCTGAATCCTGAAAATTAATTTGGGAAACAAAAAGCACAGATTAATGTTTGAGAATCATTTAATAATAATAAGAATAATAATAATTAACAATTTTTAAAATTAATTAGATTACTTAGATAATTCCAACTATTCAGTTCAGTGTGTTAGTAATGGAAAAGTGTTCTGAGTAAATGACTTATTACTTAAAGCAAGGCTTCTTAAACGTTTTTCAGTCGCAACCTCTTCTTATCACTGAGAGTTTTTTCGCGACCCCAGGACACCATAATATTTACGAAAAATTTATGGGACCCCCATAAACATTGAGCAAAACCCACACACGCGTGAGTGAAACTGTTAATTTTTCACCACGAATGCATGCAGAAAGGAAGACCATTAAAGCTAATAAATGTAATTTGACTTGTACTGTGTTTCCCCCTTCCTTTCTGCATGCCTTCGTGGTGTAACGGTAGCGCACTCGGCGCGTATTCCAGAGCTCCAGGTTCGAGTCCCAGCCAGGGTATTGCTCATTTTTCATGATAACTGCTTCAAAAAATTCAAATGATTCTACAGTGCCTCCCAAACTGGAAAGATGGTAGAGGATGATTCTTCACCACCACGATTTAGGTATGCTAATCCCCAGTCGTCGTTTAAATAGGAAGTATATTAGGTAATTTCTCCCTCCTATCTGCATGAATCCGTGGTGTAACGGTTAGCACACTCGACGCATATTCGAGAGGTCCAGGGTCGAGTCCTAACGAGGGCATTGCTCATGCTTCATGACTCCTGCTTCAAAAAAATTTCAAATGATTCTACATTGGCGGACGAACTAAAAGGTAGCGGATGACGATTCTTCAACAGCAGGATTTGGCGACTATGTCCCCTAATCCAAGTCGCTCTTTAAAAGGGGAGTATATAATATATTTTCTACCTCCTTTCTGCCTGTCCTTGTGGTGTAATGGTAGCACACTCGACGCGTATTGGTAGGGTCCAGGTTCGAGTCACGATAAGAGCATTACTCAATTTTCGTGCACTATTGCTTCAAAAAATAATCTAATGTCTATAAAACTTTAAACTTTTATTCGGAGAGTTTGAACACTTTTTAATTAGGCGCTACAGTTTTTAAAGGAAAAAAAAACGACCATCACGTAAGGACAAATTTCTCTCAGAAGCCTAAAATTGCGACGTTACAAGTATACTATTTGAGAAAAATAATGATTAAGGACTAAAGAATTGAGATTTTTGGATAAATTGCTCTGCGTAAATTGAATAAAAATATATGGTAGTTCTCAAAATTTTACTATAAATAAAATATCGATTAAATGCTTTAACTATAAGCCTTTTAATATCGAAAATATTTTTCAAAGTTATTAAAAATAAATCTTTTAACAGTTAAATTTGGATCTTGCAGAAAAGCGGGCAAATGATGTGCTTCTAATAAGCGAAAAAGAAATATGATAGCTAAAAATTAATATATTCTTCGAAATTCCTTTTCAACTCGACAGAACTACGCAAGAATTAGTATTATGTCAGAAGCTCGCAGCTATCATATATCAGAAATTTGGTAATTAATATATTTTTAGAAAGATATTTAAAGGAAATACTTATACATTATTGAAATTAAAGAAGCCTATACAGCACCTATGTTTTGTGAAATCAATAAATAAATTATATAATCCTAAGCCGGTGGAAATGAATTGTTTCGAAATAGGAGATGTGACCGTTTTTATTCATTATGCACAGACTATTAAGAAAATTTTGCTTCCAATTCTTTATTAATGTGTGTATCTACATTAACTCTTGCAGTTTATGCTTGCTTCCACTCTTGCTTGTAAAGATATTCCATGTTTTACGAATGCAATTTAACTACACCTTTTTTAGAATTTTGCGCGCAGGAAACAAAATATTTCTTTGAATGTAATACGACTAATGCCCCACCAATGACCAAGTAGTTAAGTCCGCTGAATATTGGACATTCGATGTAGATTCGATCCCAGTCAAACGGGCTAGCTGCATAAATGCTTCCTCCATGTGTTATGTAACTACGAGTGAGTTATCCTTAGAAAACCTTCATGATCTCCCTTCCCATAGAATAAATATCTCTCGTGTACTCTGCCATATTCAAATGATCTAAATTAAGGTAATTCCACGAATGATCAGGTCACCAGAATTGATCCTTATATGGATTAAAGTATTTAAAAACTGTTTTAAAAGCCTGATATATATGCAAAAATTCAGTGAGTTGGCTAAAATAACGCATTTTCTGCTTAGTGCATAAAAAGTAGTAACTTTGGGATCATGTTGATGTAGATATACTTGGTGTTCATTAAGTTGACTGCAACAAGTTATAAGGTTTTTCTCCCGCCTTCCTAGCGTGTCTTCGTGGTGTAGTGGTTCTGCACGCTGGGCCGTTATCCAGAGGTCCATGGTTCGATTTCCGGTGAACGGTTGCTATTTTTCATTTTTCCTGCTTCCAAGAAATATACCTAATGTCCCTATAGTGGCGCCCGAATTAAAAGGGTTGTGGATGAGGTTTCTCCACACTCAGGATTTGACGATTGGGTACTCTAAAAACCTCAGTCGCTCTTTAAAAGGGAGAGTATATAAGGTATTTCTCCCGCCTTCCTAACGTGTCTTCGTTAGGGGAGCCTACTGTAGTATCGAAGCGCTCCCGTTTAAATCTCGGAGAAGGCATGGATGTTTGTAAACGTATAGTGTTTTTTGCACCATGGGGGCACCCTAAATGCATGACGAGCCGAAAGTCCTTTCGCGTAGTTTTGTGGAAGGGGAGAAGGGTGAGAGACCCACGGAGAACCCCGGGGTGCTTTTTCTCAAAATTGGGGTGGAGGTAGAAGTCCAACCTTTCTGAGGCTCTGGCAACCAGTCGTCCATGAAATTCACGGACAAGAAAACAACAACACGAAACGTTATATACGTTAAATACACGATTCTTTCAGCATCATTCCAAAGATTTTGAAAGTTATGATTTGTTAATGATAATATGTTTAACGACAAGGATGGTCTTAATCCTGCCAGGAAGAAGAGATTCTGGACTGTTCTATTACCATTTCTGTATCAGCTGCAGCTTCGGTGTTCACTGTTATCGCCAATCTGTGCGCTCCCTATGCGTATCTATTATATTCATCAATCTCTCCCTCTTGCCTCGAACGAATTATTATCGGGGTCTTCTCGAATCCTGTCAGCAAGAATAAACTTGTGCAAGCCGAAGCGTCATCTGCGTAGCAATCTGAAGCAAATACTAGAAGTTTATCTGTACGCCACAAAACAACCAGCCTGTAAGCACGTCAAATAGCTAGAAATGACACAAGAGATAAGAGACTTTAAGAGTTTAATATTATATCTTATGAAACAAGCTGTAAATCAAATCAAGAACTTTTCCGTATCCTTCATACAGAATCATCCTAAAATCGGCAAACATTAAAGAAAGTGTATTTTTAATGAATTTGTAAGGTACATTAGTAAATATTTTACACAATATAAAGTAAAGATAGTGCTTAAAAATTTTATTACTAAACGTTTTTATTACAGTCATGCTTATCAGACAGCGCTTCATGTCTAAGAGACACATAATTGATAATTATTAATAAATATTCGATACAATTTAATTATTTAATAATATATATTAATTAATATTATTATTAATATTATATAGTAATATTTAATATTATATATTAATATTTAATTATTTAATATTGCTTCGCGTTCTAAGATGTATGGATAGCAGACACATACCGTCGAAAAATGCTTTGTAAAATTGGTGTTGAAGTTGAGTTGTCTACAGATCTAAGTAATCAAGCGTGACAAAAGTAATGATTTAGCAGTTTAGTCTTTTCGAAAGTTGAGGGTAATTAATTTAACTAAGAGGTGCTTCCCCTCATACTACTTAATGGGATTAGGGTGACAACCCATAATCAACCTAGGTATTAGGCGAGAGGGTAGGACATTGTTACGCACGTCCCTCTTAAGACATATAAACCAATCTTTGCTGCCTACGAACTGGAGGCCTCAGTACCACGACGCAGATTTTAAATACGAACTCTCTCTTAATACCTCAAGGCAAAACTGGGCACCGAACACTCGTCAAAGCCGGGTCTCAGAGATCACCCTGGGGGAAGGCACACTACGAACACCTATATTGACCTGGCAGTCTGTCTGGCCATCAAAAATGCTCCCGTCACCAGGGGACGGAAAACCTGGACCAGCTACCTGTGTTTCTGATTCTAGTCTTACTCTAATCCCCTTCGGTTTGAACGTATAAACGATCTTCCCTCGGGTTCTGGAGCAGCCAGGCTCGTAATTACTGTTTTCCCAGAGTACTACTGCCTTCATAAAATACCAAATCAGTGTATACACCTCAGATGGTAAAAGTTGAGGGTAAGATTTATTTACAGTAAATACGGAGTAATGCTCGCCTTGCATGAATGTCACCAAATAGAAAGCTTTCTTTTTTTCCCAACAGCACAGCTATATATTCAAGATTCTAGAGTACAAAATAGGTCAGGTTAATGTATCATTTTACCAAGATCTTCTACATCGCAAGTAATTAAAAAATACGAATGAACTATTAAGTTGCTGATTGACTTGCAGTGACATTGGAATTTTTTGAAGCACATGAACAGGAAAAATGCCCTCGCATGGACTCGAACTTCGGACCTCTCGACTACGCGCCGAGCGTGCTGACCATTACACCACGAAAGCGTGCTAAGAAAGCGGGAGAAATACCTTATAGTCTAAATATAAGTTGCAACATCAATTATTTATTGATTTCTGAATCCCGTCGCTCTACACATGAAAATATGACCATCTCTCAACTTAGAAATTTGTCTGTGATTCTAGATGCTTTCCAATACCAAACTATCTTGTAACAGTATTTATAATATACTATTCTGGGGAGGGAATCATCTTTCTTGATGTCCTCCTTTAAATTTGTATAGCTTTTGATTACTCTTTCCTTAGAAATGGATGAAATATTTAAATTTTGAAATGAAAAATACTCACATGAGGAAAATATTTTGGTGAGAAAAGGGAAAATCAAAGAGGAAACATATTTTGGCGTATATATAAGGCCTGTGTATAAATACATAATATCTGTTAGGAGACATCAGAAGTAGACACTCACAATAATTAAGAAAATATGCATATCTGATTAATAATAATTAAGATAATTTAGATTTTATATGGCAGTTAGAAACTCAACTGAACATAAAAACGTCTGAATATATTTTGCGTTCCAAGAACAAAAACCCAAAAACAACATCCTATTCAAAGAGTTAATTGCTATGATTATCAAAATAAAAATTGTAGCGAAGAAAAGGAGTTTATTAATAATAATGAGGGTAAAGAAGAAAATTTCCTTCGTTTTAGTAATTAAAGATACTAAATGTTCAAAGTTATAAACAAAATGAATAAATAAGTATGATTTATTGTACTTGAATGTTTTATAAATTAAGTATAACAATGTATATTACTGACATGCTCAGAAATATTATAGCTGGAAAAATATTTATTTAATATGAAGTAAATTTATATTCAGTCGATTAATGATAGAACAGAAGAAAATGTATATGCGTTTAGCGTAACTATTAAAATATTGAATTTATTACTGTCCTATGTGAGAATAAGCATAAAATCAGTTACATACAGGGGGAGCATAAATTGTGTTAGCAAAATAAGAGCATCCATCCAGATGAGAAATAATTACCATGGAGCATTGTGTCGCATTCCACTCTGAAAATAAAATCAGAAACTCAGAAAAGAGTAAAATTTGAATTCCACTATGAACCTGGTTTTCCAGCAGTGTTGAGAAAACGAAAGAATGATACCAAAAGTTGCGCAGAGAGATTATTGATCAGAGAAAACACATAGCAAGTGCTCAAAGTGGAGCCCCCGCCTGCTTTTGCACAGTTCATGCCGGCGAATGATTGACTGGAGTACTCTTTCGAAGACTCCTGGTGTGTTAATTTGTAACGACGATACTAACTGCGACATCTTCTGTCGATTTCAGAGGCCTCGTACACTAAAGATTTCATGTGATCTTAGAAAAAGAAGTCCAGCTGGTTGAGGTCCGATGAGCGAGAGGCCAAGCCACAGGTTATCCATATCAGATCATACGGGATATGCCGTTTTCAAGAAGTGCTAGAAAAGTACACTGGAACTGCATCATGCCTAAACCAGATATCTCTATGGGAGCTGAACAGTCTGCAATAAACTGGGAAGCACTTGTTCCAAAAAGATAAGGTAAACTGCACCAGTCAAACGATCTGGCAAATATCCTGGATACTTCCCCAGATGTTCACGAAACTTTCGGCTGGTGGCTAATGCAATATGGATTTGCTGTGAGACCAAATGTGTTGATTGTACAGGTTGAAAATGTCTTCTCTGCAGAATGTTGCCTCATCAATAAATAATACTAATGCAGGGAAATAGTGGATAATCATTCTTCATGCGTTGCACAAAGCTGTACATCAGGGAAAACAACCTTGGTGTAAACATTGCACCTTTTGACCATGGTACGGGTGCTTGGGTTCCTTGTGTAAAATACGCCCTAACACTTTCTGAGAACTACCCATTTCGTATGCCACCGCTTGCGTACTTGTGGGAAGAGGTGCTGAAATTCTCGCCAAACCTCCCTCTTTCGTTTTTGCTGTTTGTGCATTTTCACGAATGTCTTGTGTTGCTGTTTGAAATTGCAAATGAACGGCTTACTCACGGTATTCGAAGGTAGGATGACTTAAAAAACGCCTTGGAAACCTCTGCTAGTACGATCTTTGTTCTTCGCGTCCATTCTCTTTTGCTTCACTGTATGTGAGGTACATATCTGGTGGTTTCTCGTATGTGTATTCCACCATCGCCTTCACGAAACGTGTCGGACGATGTTTACCAAGGTAATATTATAAAAGCGTTTATTGCTTTGCCGTTTCTAAAAGAAAATACTTGAGCTGAGTGGCTTTCTAAGAAATTTACTAAGAGAAAATTTTGCTGCTTCTTCTTCCTGGAAATTTGCATAGTGTTTGGTTTTGTTTGGTTTGTCATATCAGCACACGGGGGCTATGTAGTTCGGGATCTCTGCTGAAAGTGGATTCCGAACCACTCCATACCTACACTTGAACATCGATACCTACACCGGGATTCGAGCCCGGAACTTCTAGACTGGAGCCAGTGTGCAAGCGACCAGACCATCTTGCTTAGGAGATATGTTACATAGCCAGGTACAAAATGAAATCATGACTTTTTCATGTTTACCACGTTTCAAATTTGTTCTTTTCTGTCTCTCAGAGAGGAATGTACCCTGTGTTTCGCGGTAATTATTGCTCGTCTGGATAAGTCAACTCTTATTTTGTGAAAACAATTTAAACTCCTCCTGTTCATTGAATTATTACCAAATTCAGTGCTGCATAATAAATAGTAAAAGACTGCTGATTGCTAAAAGGAGTATAACTCTTGAAAATATCGAAATTACGTTGATCACAGCACATTTAGAAAATATAGCTTATTTTTGTATTAAACCTTTAACTAAATCTAGAGATGAATTGGATTGGATTTTATAGATTATTGCAAAGCACACAAACCAGCTGCCTGAGGGAAAGGATGCATTCCAGGAGGATATTCTTAAAGTAAATACATCAAGAAGAACAGAAAACTCTCATGTAACTAGCTGTTTAGTCTAGACTTGAGCCCGATGTGAATTAAACTGTTTAGCGGTTTCATTTGCTTGGCTGCTGGCAGGCCTAAGTGTAATCGTGTTAAACTTAAATATTTATAGGTATAATCATGGAATACATGTCAGTCATCTATTCTCATTTGCATTCAAACTGATTTTGTGGTTCAATGACACTGAATTAAAATCCTTTTATGTTGAACCATCTACGCACACGTTGAACATAATATTACATTTATGTATCCAAAGAAAGACATATATTGCTTCTGAAAATAATGTGGACATTAAAGGACTTCATTTTAAAATAAAACTGCAGTTAAAAATAAAACTTTGAGTTAGAAATCAGTTAAAATTTCGTCAAGATGCCCCAAAAGACATTACGTTTTTGCATTATAATGTAGAAAATTATATATAAAGAGCTTTATTGAATGTATTTGTTAATAATATGTCGAACCCTCTTTTAATCATTCCTGTGGTTTTCAGGAATTGTAATAAGTTTTGTTAATTAGAGAAATCTTTAGAACACACAAAATGTACACTGCGCACAAAGGAAAAAAAAATGAGACAGTTCTATCCCATTCTACTGGGCCAACTGACTAAATTCAACTTGCGTTTGTAATGTCTCAAAAGCGCGACTTAGGATATATATTATATTTATATATAGCATTGTTGTACTATAGGAATTTTGACACAAAATCGGACATTTTCTGAAATGACTTGCCATTTTTGTTTTCAATATTTCGATTTTACAATTCAAATTATGCCAAACTACCAAGTTTTGTGAAAATCGCACGAAGTTTCTAAAAAAATTGGCACTCAAAATTTTAGATCCTCAATGTAAATTGAATTTGATATATATTTATTAATTTCTCTTTTTCTATTAAACTTACTTGATTTTTCCTTTCATGTTTCGAAATTTAGGTTCATTCCAAATAAAATTCTACCATTTTTATGATTTAATTTTAAAATTTGTATTTTAAAATAATTTTTATACATTTTTCGAAAAATATTTTGAATTATAACTTTATATAAAATGTTTACCATCATCTTAAATTAGACGTACTTCTAAGCATACCTGCAAAAAATTAGAGTTTTTTTGTTCAAAAGTTCCTACGATATACGTCAATTTATATTTTGGTGCGATTTGAAATTTGGCGTATTTATTATGCGGAAAAAAGGCAAAGGAAAATAGGTTGCTATGAATTAAGAAGTTCGCCAATTCTTGATGCAAACTGATAAAAATCCGCCAAGATAAATTTTTTAATTTTTCCATACATTTCACACCAAAAGTTAAAAATTTAATAACTAGGCGTAATTTGAGTCTTAGAATCGAAATATGGAAAAGAATTGGTATGCTATTTAAGAAAAAGTCCGATTTTGTGTCAAAATATCTTGTTCTAAAAGAATCCTATATATAAATCTAATATATATCCTAAATAACGCTTTCGAGACACAAATAACGCACTTTGAATTTCGTCAATCGGCCGAGTAGAATGGGAGATATAGAACTGTCTCCTTTTTTTCTCTTGCAATTAACATCTTGATAAATTTCCCAAAATATATTATATTTTGCTGCATGAGCTTTTTAACATGTTCGAAATCTTGTTTGCAAAAGTGTCTTTTATTGTATAAATTCTAGAGACTCTAAAATTTACTCACATTGTATACGAAGCACAACTTCTTCGCTTCGACCTCTTCCTTGAGCATTTGTAGCGAGGCACTGATACGTGCCTCGATTTCTTCTTCCAACATTGTGCAAAAGCAAAGAATGGTTTCTAATAATGATGCCTCTTAGTGAATCATGTATAAGATTCCTGCCTTGAAATCGCCATTTGACCTCTGTCACAGGAGGATTAGCTTGTATATTGCATTCGAAGTACACGTCACTACCTTCTCGTATGTGCTCGTATTGTTCACTTGCACCAAAAACCAAAGAGAGTTGCGGTGGATCTGTAAGAAATAATATTTATATAGATTTTTATATAAATATTCTAATAACAAAATTCTATATTGTAGTAATTTTCGCAAGAATAAAAATGAGCATTAAGCAACTTTGAACCTAAATCTTGTTTTTTGTAAAATGTTTTGAGACGGCATTCAAACTGTAATTACAAATTTCTACAGAATGTAGAATTATTCTAAATTGGCAACATAACAAGGTATAAATTGGAAGCAAAGTTTATGCCTAAATTAAGGTCGCTCTCTAAATAAATCCGTTCAGATTGATTTATTATTACTGAATTCATTGCACGAAATGCGAGTTTTAATGACATTTTACATATGAGAGTTGTGGGAAAAGATTTTAATGATTTCTCACTAAAAAAAGAAAATTCTGATACTTTTGCACTGTTTTCTTTGATGAGATTTCTAATTTATAATACACTTTTACATATATTTTTCTGGATAATCAATAATTTATGTGAAACCATTTATGACTCTTTAGCCACATGTACGTATAATATAATAAAAAGTTGCATGAAACAAAACATATCTAAAAAAAAATCGATTAAGATCCAATTAAAATCGAAATGGAGTCTTTAGAAACTGTTAGGTAGATTTGCAAAACAAATAATATTGTTACGAATTTTCTATATATGTAAATAATTTTCGTGAAATTATATGTAAATAATTTTCGTGAAATTATATGTAAATTGTAGTATTTCTTGTACAATTTAACTTGAACGGCATTCGAATGTAAAGCATCGTCGAAAAATAGTTACATGGGTAAGTCCATTGGCGAGACAGCGCCAAGATGGCGATGGTTTCGGTGACTAATTTTGTCGCGAAATCTGGTGAGAAATCGTTAAGCCCGATCTCTGTGTTGTAAGGATCTTAAGTTTTACTAACGTTTATTTTATTTTAAATCTTTACTATCACTTCTTATTTTCTACTTCCGGCCAGAATTATAAGCGTGAAGGTATTTATGCAAAGTTTGTCTGTCGAACGCCAAGTATTTAAGTTGTGGCCTTTTGCCAAGCGAGAGAGAGGAAGCAGTGAGTTCGAAGCAGGCCGCTTGCCTTAGAAGTTACGCAGTTCCTGTTGCCTTCCAGGCCAGAGGTTTTAATCCTCTTGATAAACTTTTAAACGTATTGTAGTGTTCACAGTTATCTGTACTACATACGCCTTCCTGTTAATTATAAGGCCAATCTTCCACGTTTATTATTCTAAAGTTAAATTAGAGTTTAGTTTTTATTTTATACTTTTACGTTAGACCCCGAGTAGCGGGTCGGTGTATTCCGAAGTACGGAAGTTATTGTATATAGAGAAAAATAAAGGGTTTTGTATACCCTTCGTCTGTATCCTGTCTACTTACCACAATTAGTGAACATAGCTTTAGTAAGCTCTCTGTTCCGAGTCAGGTCCTTGTATGTTCCCGAAGAAGGTTAAGAAGGAACATTGAACCTGATAGTGGCGCCCAACGAAGAAGAATAACCATGGCCGAGTTTCAAGAAGAACCTGTGCTGCCTGCAGAAACGGCTCAGAATCCAGAAATGCCAGCTGCCGCCCTGGAAGGATTTGGTTACATCGTCCAGACCATGCGCGCTTCGATGAAACCAGAAGCAACATTTAATGGAAACTCACCGGTAACCAGTTTTTTGGAAAAATTGGATGACCACTTCATGCTCTACCCCGTGCACGAGTTTCAAAAAGTTACCTTAGCTACCAGCGCTTTGAGGGGCCAAGCGCTTAACTGGTTCAAATGTATAGGCAGAAGTCTCTTGGGTCAAGCAGGAAGTCCCACCTATACTTACGAAAATTTCAAGACTGCCCTACTAAAAGCCTTCCCTGTTGTAAGGGATCGTGCGAAATTAGAAACGGAACTTTTCAGTATATATCAACAAAGAATCGAAAACCTCTCGAGCTTTATTTTAAGAAAAATTCACGTTTTCAAGCTCTTGTATGGAAACCGTCCGGATCCTGAAATAATTCAAGTGATTTTGCCGAGGTTACTACCCCAAGTGCAAGACTTTATTGAATTAAGAAATCCGACTACACTGGAAAAGTTATTTGAGCTAGCAATCCAGTTTGAAAGTAGAAGAACGGCGGACGTCGAAAGAAGACGCCAATATCAACAGCGAAACCAATTTGGTACGCCAAGACTACAGCAAACTCAAGCACATGGCTACGGAGAAAAAGCGAATCAGTGGGCAAGGAAACCCGAGCATTCAAAAACAGCCGGCGAACGTCGACAGTTCAATAGCAACCCAGGAAAAAAGTCTCAAGGCCAGTGGAAAAAGAAGGAAAGCACGGAAAGGAAAAATAATTTAAACTAAAACGGATTTCTGCTGACGAGAGGGTGCGGAAATCCGAAGGCCACGAAAACCCCTCTTCCTACAAGTTAAATACAGTAATGGTGAAAAATTTGACTCTTCCGAAGATTGAAGTCTTGGTGAATAATATCCCAGCCACCGCACTCCTGGATACCGGCGCGCAGTGTTCCTGTGTGGCAGAAGTTTTTTAGGAAGTATTTTCGCAAATACCGCATATATAATGCGGATAATACGACAGTGTTAGCGGCGCAAGGAGAAAATGTAAGTGCGTAGGTAAAGTACCTTTGTATATCCGTATCAAGGACGAACAAGTAAAGGTGATGTTTTTTATAGTAAAGAATCTGCAAGCACATTTAATTTAGGAATAGATTTTCTTTCAGACGCACAAGCTACACTGGATTTTAATGAAGCGTCCCTTAAGCTGACAATGAAACCAGTTCGTACAGAAAAGGCTGAACCGCCGATGGTTAAATCTTGACCACCTGCCTAATGACGAGCAAGGATAGAATCCGACAAGTGGTAAGTGAATTTGCTTCGTTATTTAGTGATATTCCAGGATTTACTCAGGTTACTAACCATAGTATTGACACCGGAGATGCATTGCCAGTTCGTCAAAAACCATACCGGTATGATAAGAATAAGGAAAAAATTATAGAATGGCATATTACCGATATGCTACGTAAAAAGATCATAACGCCCATCTCAAGTAGTTATGCTAGCCCGGTGGTTTTATGTAAGAAAAATAATGATTATCCTTTGGAGCATCCAAAAAGGTGGAGATTCGCTATTGATTACCGTAAATTAAATTCCATAACGAAATATCCGGTATATCCGTTACCGATTATAGAAGAAATTTTAAGGAACATAAAATCAACCAAATTTATGACGACTTTAGACTTAACGACTGGTTATTTTCAAATAGGGGTGAGGCCTGAGGACGTGCCTAAGACTGCTTTTATAACCAAGTCTGGCACTTATGCATTTTTGCGTATGCCGTTTGGCCTTTCAGGGGCCCCGGCAACATTTCAGCGATGCATGGACATTGTGTTAAGACCTGTTCTTGGAAAGTCCACATTTATCTATTTAGACGATATCATTATTACTAGTGATAATCTCGACCAACATGTACAGGATTTAAGACAGGTGTTTTCTTTATTAAATGAGGCCGGTCTAAAAGTTAATGTCGAAAAGTGCAAATTTGCAGCCCCTGAATTAAAATATTTAGGTTACAAAATATCTCAAAAAGGGATCGAGACAGATGAATCAAAAATAATCGCTGTACAAAAGTATCCGACTCCAAACACGGCAAAGAAGCTCTCTTCTTTTCTAGGACTTTGTTCATATTATAGGTCCTTTATAAAAGATTTTGCGGCTATCGCTGAGCCATTGTTAAAATTAAAAAGGAAAAAGGCAAGATTCTCGTGGACGGCCGAAGCCAATAGTGCTTTCGAAAAATTAAAACAAGCATTAACGCAAGCCCCTGTGTTGAAATTTCCTGAAAAGGATGAGAATTTAGAAATTTCAGCGGATGCTTCGGATTATGCGGTAGGAGCGGTACTTTCGCAAAATCAGCAGCCCGTGGCATTTTTTAGCCGAACTTTAAATCAAACACAAAGAAACTATTCCGCGACCGAGAGAGAGGCACTTGCAGTTCTGTTAGCAGTGCAAAAGTTCCGAGTCTATTTTGGAAAGGCGCCGATAACAGTGTACTCTGATCATGCGGCGGTAACTAGATTGTACTCAGGAAAAAATTTATCCCCAAGGTTAATAAGATGGGCACTCAAGCTGCAAGAATATAATCTGGTAATCAAGCATACCCCCGGAAAGGAAAATATCGTAGCAGATGCCCTATCAAGAATTAAAATAGACGAACAAGGTAATACCGTAAAAGTGGCAATGCTTACAGCATGTACAATAAATTCCCGAGAAACTGTAATAACCGAACTGGGTAAGGATCCTGAGTTTGGAAGCATTTATGAGTATTTGAAGGATCCTGAAAATTTTAGCCACCAAGATATTGTGGCGATAAGAAATAGGGCGGCCCATTACGAACTAATAGATGGTCTATTATTTTATACAAAAACTACGAATTCCAACAACGAATTTCGACCTGTTATCCCAGCTAGTCTTAGATTAAATATCCTGCAGGAGCTCCATGACAGCCCTTTAGCTTCTCATGCTGGTATTCGAAAAACTATCCAACGCGTACGCGAGGCAGTCTACTTTCCTGAACTGCAAAAGTTAACAAGGGCGTATGTCCAGTCCTGCCCAACATGTCAAGCAGTTAATTATATTAATTTCCGCCCGGCCGGGTTTCTAAATAGTATTAAATCCGAATTTCCAAATGAAATAATTGGCATCGATTTATTGGGCCCTTTCCCAAAAAGTCAGTTAAATAAAAGTCGCTATCTCCTTGTTATGGTTGATCATTTTAGTAAATGGACCGAAATTGTTCCCTTAAAACGAGCCTCCGCGAAATTAGTTACTGATTCTATTTTAAATAAATATATTTTAAAATACGGGGCGCCCCTAAAAGTTATATCGGATAATGGTCCTCAATTTGTAAGTAATATATTTGAAGACATGTGCCAAAAACTGGGCATACGTCATTTAAAAATGGTCCCGTATCGGCCGCAATCAAATATAGCGGAACGGGTCAATAGAAATATAGTGAAAATT